GAAGAATAAGTTTGCTTCGTAGTGTGGTGGGGAGGCTTGTAAGAAAGGGGTATACGAACATGTTCATAGTAAAAAATAAAATCGGCAGATTCCACGTACCTGGGAATCCACGTTATGCGAAGCATGCGGAAGGATGGTGACCATGTTGCAATTTTTTTTATCGACCGCCACGTCATGAAATGACGCTAACGACATGCACAAGTGTTGCACGCACAGACATATGTTGAGTTTCAAATTTTCATATAACCAGTTGTTTGAAATTGTGCAACGAAGTCAACAGGAACATGCCTATTAGCAACACCAGAAGCTGATATGAAGCGCTGATGCTCGCGAAGCTGCTGGCCCAGGACAGTGCTTCATAAATAAACTTCAGGGCATGGTAACTAACAACAACTGACGCTAACCTGACGTGACGGCTGCATTAAAGGAGTTCATAATGCAGTGCCTGTGAAATTTGGTAGGCAGAACTGCAACCATTATTGACGTTTCGCGAAGATTAGCGTCTATTTAAAAATTAGTTCCAAGACCTGGCATAGCTGTGTAGTAAAATGATTCACTGCCACGCAGAATGCTTTGGTTCAACACCAGTGGGACCATGACATGTACTCTGCATTTGTCGGGTCGACGCTACCGATGAGGGGTATTTTCTAACGCGGGCGCGTTAAAATTGCACGTGTGTGTTCTCGTCGTTCCTGGGTAGGTACTAAGTGTCAATCACCTGTGACACATACCCGCATACCAGCGGCCGTACACGACCATGGGTATGTGCACTGTCTAATGGGAAGTGTTCGACGACGTACGCAACGGGATTGTGACATTAGTTATGTCTTGACCAGCACGTTATATTCGTTGAAAACGATAGATAAATAGATAGATAGATAGATAGATAAATAGATAGATAGATAGATTAATAGATAGATAGATAGATAGATAGATAGATAGATAGATAGATAGATAGATAGATAGATAGATAGATAGATAGATAGAAGTCGCCGAGGTTCCCTAAGAAATGCTTCGCATTTAAAACAGCGCGAAAATAACAAGGCCGAGATTGATTAAACAAGAATAGCACTTCGACAAGCTTAGACGCTCATTCACTAAGCAGCTCCACGCTAACCGTCAATTGCGTTTTCTCGTGTAGTGCACACGTGCTGGCAGTGTGCGCACCGCTCGGAGAAGGACCTTCTTCTATTCACATATACAAGCTCGTCAAGCGTTCTGTTCCACGGTCTACAATAGAAAAAACGCCCTAATTAGGTTCTGATCTCATCAAATACAACAAGCATCTCTGAACAAGTGCTACGATTAAAAATGGTAGGATTTTTCATACAGTTATTGGTTTAGCGGAAACCGTCTTAAGACAGCTGCCTCGATTTTCGACTACACCCAAGCCTTTGCATGAAGGTGCAACATTTGCCATGACACCCTATCTACTGTGGGCTATATAAATGGCGGAAGCACCACGTTTTTGGAGTGAACAGACGCAGTTGACGTGGTCAGAATGACCCAAAACAACACATTTAATTACCTTTAGAACGACGGTGTTGTCAGCCGAATTATTATATCATGAATTGCGATCGACATGCCAAGCATGCACGATATTTCACAACACTCCACAACTTGAAGAACCAGGTGGTGTCGCTAACACCTGACTCACAACAAGAACCCCCGGCAGACGGCCTGCGGTGCCTTGCACCGGGATCCCACTGCGAGATACAACCATTCGTGCCACACGCAAGCAGCCAAAAAGACTCACTCAACTCTCTCGTGCCACCACCAAGGCCTACCGCCAGAGGTCACCGCCGATGCTACCAATCTAACCATGATGATTATAGTAGTGATAAACGCTACGTATACAACGCCACCTACCTCTGAACAGTTATGACTCCTTAGTGCGGCTTCTGCGTGAGACATGAGCGCTACGAGGCGAAAACCACATAACAAGAGGTGTTGGCACCCCCACATCATATTGCGTATCCCATCGCATCAAGAAAGCCGCCGCACGTGTCACTGTCAATATCATTTACTCGGCACCAATGTTACTCAGTTTGCTGTGCAGGAGAGTGAACATCTCACGTCCTGCAAGTCAGAATTGCAAGAAGAATTATGTCACTTGTTTCTTGCCATGCAAGGTGACTGACATCTACGGCCCACATCCTGCCATAGCACCTAGACAGACTACAGCTGCTCTGTAAACGACCGCTTGAGTATTCCTTCCAACAATATCAGTACAAAACAAATAGCAATGTGGCAATTCATTGTGCTGAGTGTGACCGAACTCCAGCAGACGGGCATCATGCGCCCGCATTGAGATAACAGCGTCCGGTATTAGTACGAAGCCTTCGCCATCAGTCTCGGAGGTCAAGAAGGTATCAGCTCCACATCTATCACACTAACTGACAAAGTGATTCACTATCTCAACAGTAGAGCGTTCCACGCTTCAATGACAAAGCACGACATGTGCGCCTGTGCTAAGAACATCATCTCTGTCCTCTTTGTTTTATTTTTTTTTTTCATTTCAAGAAGCGCATTTACGTTGTTGGTAGTTAGCGCTATAGGCCTGTCTCATCTTTTTTGTCCTTGATATTGTCACGCAGATTTTTACTGTGAGTGAGTGCCAAAAAAACTCAAATTCACGCGCTCCTCAAGGTATACAGGACCGATGCGTCACCTGTAAGGTAGCGTGCATTTTAAGGAATGATTCTTCAATCGTCTGCTAATCTACAAATACGCCTTCGTGAAAATTCAGTAGATCTAACGTACCATGAGAATCGATGTGCCAAGCATGCGGAGGAAAGGTTGCTGTGGTGTAATGTTTTTATTGAGCGAAATGTTACAAAACGGCGCTAAACATATGCGCGAACTTCGCACACATACACGAGCGCATAGCAACCACATTTGTTTCATATAACCAGTTGTTCACAGCTGCGTAACGACGTGAACAGCAACACGTGTAATAACAACACCCGAAGGGGTAAGCGGATGGGTAGCTCTTGTGCTAGCGTTACGTAATTGACTTCACTTGCGCTATGTTACTGACTTCAGTAAACAATCAACTTTAACTTTACATGACAGTGACACATGTGTCATATTAGTACACATACATGTGTATAAAGTTTGATAGCTATGGACGTTTGGCCAACATTATGCCTGCATTAGACATTTTTCCAAAGCATTTCCAAGACCTGCTGTGGCTCTCGCGTAGAATATTTGATTGCCACACAAAATGCCTGGGTCCGATTACTGCCGGCATTCTGGTTTTTATTCTTCGCATTTGTGGAGTTTCCACGCAGCCGAAGTCTGTTATTCATAACGCACTCATCTTGAAAAAACCAATGTTTTCATCTGCCATTCTTGGGTAAATACAATCTGTCAATCAACCATGGCAAATACCCGCATACGCGTGGTGTGCGGGTATGTGCAACAGGTGTCTGGAGAAAAGCGTTTCCGGCGTGTGGGACAGGATCTTTACGTTATTCATGTGATGACCAATCAGACATATTTGCCGAGCCCTCTTAACCTCCCATACTAACTTTTGTCTACCCTATAAGTTAAGCAGGCGATCACGAGAGCACCCAGACATAAGCGAATAGATAGATAGATAGATAGATAGATAGATAGACAGATAGATAGATAGATAGATAGATAGATAGACCAGACGAATTTATCATCAAGGAATTGACTGGAATCAACGCTGCGAATATAATTGAAATTGGGGAGCGAAAAAAATTGCGTGAGTGCCTCCTTGAAAAATATATAGGGCAATCGGCTTGCGTTTGGTGATAAACAAAATATTTAGAAAATAATGTCATACAGGATAAAGAAAAAACTTCATCTCAACCAACCAAAAGAACAAACTGGATTCAGGAAAAGCTACTATGAAACTCCAGAATAGATCATATTCAGGCAATAAATCAGGCATTAGAGAAAGCTGTTGAACACGCCAAACACCTTAACTACGAAAAGCACTCGAATAAATGGAGATAAATGCAGCTTTAAATGCATTGAATTGACCAGGAGTACTTAAATTTTATGTTAACACTCAAGTTAATGCAAAAAAATACAGAGCTACCTTACTTCTCCAGAAGAACAGTGAGAACAGTGAACAGTGAGAACATTGCGATCAACAAAGGAGTCGGACAAGGAGATATGATATCCGCAATATTGTTCACCACGTGATTATAAGTGTTTAAACTGCTAGACTGAAAAAAAAACAGGAATCAAAGTACATTAATAATGTGGGGAGGGCCTACGATTTGCAGAATGCATAGTGCTTCTCAGTAACAATGGAAATGCATATATTGCAAAACATGATATATAAAGGAATTAGGGCAAGAAATTATTAAATCAAGCACCAAACTCAATATGGCGAATACAAAAATGTGAAATAACCTGGCGAAGCAAAAAGAATTTAAGATCTCGAACCGTACATCGGCATGTACGCAAGAATATGTATGAAAAGCAGAACTGTAACATGAGCGCCTAACCACGAAAGAGAAATTCACCGAAAGGTAAGGTGAACTGGAGCGTATTCGTCAGACACTTCCAAATACTGTCAAAAGATTCTACCACTAATATTGAACCAAAAAATATGCAACGACTGCAAACTACGAGTCCTAACATTGTGCTCTGAAACACGGAGAATAACAAGGCAAATAGAGGAACAATTGAGTGAGAATAAAATGATAGAAATAACATTCGGAGATCGGAGGGCCCCTGAAAAGTTCAGGGAACATACAGGAGTGGCAGGTATCCTACCTGACATCAAGCAAATGAAATGGTCCTCAGTCGTCTACGTGCCTAATGCGTAGAACGGACAACCAGTGGGAGCACCAGAGAGCTCACCAGGGGATGGTAAACACAGTCAGGGAAGGCAGAGAGTGAGATGGGGGTAAATCATTGGGAGAGGCCTTCGTCTCGAGTGATCTGAAACAGGTGATGACGATTTATTGTCCTCTAACTGCAGGGCTAATTGCCCAACCCCGATGTGTCCTACGCAGAGTCTGCGAGCTGGGCGTGAACGGCGTGACATAGCACAGTACGTGCTGGAGAGTCAGCAGCGGGTGAGCCAACTGCCCCCAGACTGCCAGCGGCGCATCGCCTGCATGGTGGGACAACACATGGGCAGCCTAAACAGCCTGCGCATGCTGGCGCCGATGCTCAGGTAACGCAGCTTTACAATCACCTGGACCAGGTTGAGCCTGAATTCTTTCACACCTGAAGATGAAAGCGGCTCATCAGAGGAGTGTGTGGCACACAATATGTACATGGCGGCTTTGAGAGTGGCACTGGCGCAGAGTGCTGCACTTATTCTGTGTGTTATTTCTAAATCATCAGTGAGTTGACGAAGAAGTGGGTAGCTTCGAAAAAACACGCGAATCCTTTGTTTTAAAAAGGCAATGTTTCGGGCAGGATACTTTATTGGAAATATAAAGAAGAATACCTGATTGATTCTTGGCGAGTAGTAATGTAGAATGATAATGCAGCCTTCTTTGATGGACTTAAGAGTGCGTAGTTAATGTGCGCATCTTGTTGACTATGATATGAAACAGTGAACTACATTGCATAACTTGCTCAAGGGCCAATGGACCTAAGAATAGTAAAGCTGAAGGTGTGACGTCTTATCAAATGATGCGTAATGCTGTTTCTAGAGATCATATCTTTAAGTGAAAAGCCTCCAACAGGAAATCAGAAAGTGTTCTATTGTCTGTATCACGTGGCTTTCTTACAATAGGAACAGGTGGCCTACCGGCAGGACTCCCTATTCCTGAGCTAGTTGGTACATGCCTAAAGAAAAAGAGAAGAGGTAAGGCGCAAAGAGGATGAGGACAAAATGAAGGCGTGAGCTGACAGACACTGGCGCTTACTTCAATCTCTTAGAGACAGAAACCACGCCGTTTCATATAGGTTTTAAAACAAGGTAATCTTATAACAGTAACATGTCGAATCTTGCGAATTGTTATGAACCACTGAAGCAGAGTTGGTGCATGCGCCAGAATCTTCACTGGCCCGAAGTGTAAAGGCATGCCAGCGCACATGAGCGAGTGTCCACCCTACACTCCACTCTAAGGCAAAAGGGTGTTAAAAGGATGTGTGGTTCGTCGTTTTGGAGACTAGTGTGGCTGCCACAACTACTAATCTCTTCAGGACGAACGGCACCAGCTCTAACAGTTAGTCCCTTCAAGAGACTAACATTCAGTCCTTACATTTACACTTTAGGGAGTAACTGTTAGTCACACAGTTCACCCCAAAAACTAACATTTAGTCCTCACATTTGTACCTTAAAAAGCAACTGTTAATCCCCACGTTTACGCCATACCGCGCAACCGTTAGTCCTCACAGTTGCAACTTGCCGGCGAACAGTTGATCTACTCAAATACTCCAATCAAATGGACTTCTTGTCCCCAGTTCAACCATTGTTTTTTGTTTATTTTCCGCCAGTGAGCAACAAACTCTGCAGAAAAGAACACACGAAAAAGTAGTTAGCCACTTATGTGTAACTGCTTTCACAGTCACGGCAACAACGAAAGACAAAAGTGAGACATCAAAATCTTTTATTTTTTACACACACATGAAGTTTCCCCATTCTTTTAAGTGAATTCATGGGGAAGTGTACAAGTCCAGTCTCGTTGTCAAATCTTGTTCACTCCTTAGGGAGCTCTCCGACGGAAGCGATAGATGACAGACATTGCAGACGCCAGCGCGCGCAGCCTTCTGCCCGTTGTGTTCCCATGGCTACACGTACAATAATATAGTAAAAATAGTTAGGCACAGGTCACAGAAAATGAAGATGCACACATATGACAAGTACGTGTACGTTAATATAAAAACAAGCGTTGAAATATGACACAGAAATAGCTTTACTTTCACATCTCGCACAGTTTTCTGAAGCTGCTCTGACGAAAGAGATGGATGACGGGCATCACAGACGCCAACGCACAGTCCTAAGCACGGTGTGGGCCCACGGCTCCACAATAAGTATGTAAAGTAGTTAGTCACACGTGGCAGAGGATGAATACAAATGCATATGAGAAATACGTGCAAGGTGAAATGAAAGCATACGTGAGATATGACATGCTAATGATTTCACCGAAGACACATCATCAGTCTCATTTCGATCTCCGTAGCGCACCAGCTTAGGAGCGGCGGCCGCAGCCACAACTCCGCAAACCACCGTGCAGCTAAGAAATCGGCGAGTCCTAAGCGAGCGACGTTGTTCAGCTCGAGCAAGCGAACGCGAGACCAAGCACGGCGCTGCACGCGCAGTGTCAGCCGCCAGCGAACTTCGAACAAGAGAGCAAGTGTACGCTAGGCCGCCACCACGAACAGCGCCGAGCTGGTTTGGAGCTAGCGCCAAAGAAATCGCCAGTAATGTGGCCCTTTTCCCCAAAGTCGAGCGAGTGCAGCGCGCAAACGCGAGTCCACCACCGCGGCCAACGGATGGCGCTGAGCTGCTTGCGACCAATTGACGGGAAAGCCAACTGTAATGGCGACCAATTTTCAGTGAGTTCCGGCGCTAGCGAAAGCCCCGCCAGCCCGTGCTGGTGCACATACAGCGCGCGACATACTACAATCAAGCTCTTTACGAGAACCCGAAACGTGTTTTCGACTACTCCCAATACAGCGACGAGGTCTCAGCCCACTATGGTCCACCCGGAGCTCATCGCGGTGGCGAAGACAGGCGAGCACTCGACGAGCGAACGTATGGGAGGCCGACGGCAATGGCGGCCAATTTACAGGCGGTTGCAAAGCACAGGCGAACTGCAAACGCCGAGGCTGACCTTCACGATGCATTTCGTGCGTACAATATAGAACATGACCGAGCCCGTTGCCGGCAAGCGCGATCCGTATCGCACACGCGACAAGTAGAATAGAATAAAGAATGATAACCTACTTGCCTTAGAATCCAGCGCTGTTTTCTGCCCTGAGTCGGACTGAAGTATATATCCGATAGGCCTATTGTCTTCTCCGCCGCCTTATTGACCTTCTCAACTGTTGCTGTCGAGTGTTGGTCGTCACGTTTTTGAAGCCAGAGATATACAGCGCGTGGTGACTTGTCGAGACTTGCTGCAGACTTCATGGGTGCAGCGAAACTCAAAAGCAGCAGCCCACGCTCATCCAAGGGTACACACAAGCACCACGTCATAATTCTTAGACCCTGGAATGCACGCGGCCATGGTCGAGCACTCTAAGCGCGACACAACGCCAACTGTCGCTGGCGAAATACGGGGAAGGACTGAGCCAGCAGACGAGGAGAAGGGAAGAGAAGGAGGGCAAGACACCTTGGCAACACTTTTCGCGCTGTCTGGAATGCCCGGGTGGTTCATTCCTTAGTTTCGCGTGACACACTTCCCTCTGTGGTTGCTCCTCAACGGTCTATCCGTTAATCGTAGGCGCCTATTGGGCTCCGTTATACCTTTTACGGGAAATTTTGCCTTAGAGTGTGTACATATCTACCATGCATCCTTCCAAAAGATGGCTTCTTCCCCGTTCAAATCTAGTTAAGGGGCACTAACGCACTAGCTACCTGCCCTTTTCCTACTTTTCAGCATTGCCTCATCTTTCAACTGTGAAGAAGAAGATGTGCCCGCAGCGAGCAGCATCGCCAACGCCCGGCTCTCTCGGCTCGTGCTTCGGTTCGTTGCTGTGCCGATCGCTGGACGGTTCTTCACACTGTCTCGTCGCTGTCTTTAACGGCTGATAAACCTCCTCACATTTGGTGGAATGTGCTGTTAATCCCCGTTGCTACACCCTGGAGCTGCGAAGCCGCACGCTACCACCTGTCATGACTGCCAACGCCACTACATCGACGCCTTCGCTCCAGTTCAACTGCCCTGGCCATCCTAGGCTACGGGAGCCGAAGGTCTTCAGCGGTGCGGATGGGACCGACGTCGAAGACTGGCTCGAGCACTACGAACTGGTGAGCGCCAACAATAAGTGAGATGAAGCCGACAAGCTGGGCCACGTGATATTTTATCTCACTGGCGTCGCCGAATCGTGGTTTAATAACCACAAACACATCATCCCCACATGCAGCGTCTTCAAGACGTCATGTGCTGAAGTGTTTGGTCGGCCGGCTGTCCGCAAGCAGAGGGCAGAACAGCGCTTGCGCGTCCGCTCTCAGCAGACTGGCGAGACCTTTACCAGCTATATTGAGGACGTCGTCGACCTTTGTCGACGTGCGAATGACACCATGCCCCAATCTGACAAGGTCAAAAACATCCTGAAGGGCATCGACGACGGCGCATTTCAAATGCTCTTGGCAAGGAATCCAAGCACACTTTCTGAAGTCGTCAGCTTGTGTCAGAGCTACGACGAGTTGAAGAAGCAACGCACTCTGACTAGGCAGCCTCAGCCTGGTGGTCAGTTGCTGTCCAGTTTCGACTCCATGCCCGACAATTCACCATTGCTTCAGCAAGTCCGAGCCTTCGTCCGTGAGGATGTCGCCCGCGAACTTTCCCTAGTGCCCTTTACTCGCGAGACCACCACCCGTCTACCTGCCCCGCTTCGCACTGCTATATCGGAAGAGGTTGCACAAGCTGTTCCTCTTGCGCACTACGAGCCACCTCTATCTAGCCGTGGTCTTTGCCCGGGTGTCGCGCAGCTGGTAGGCGCTCCTGTGGCCTATCCGCCAGCCGTTCAGCCTGTGGCCGCGCCCCTAACCTATGCAACGCAGCCTGTGGCTCCTTTTTCAGCGGGGGCGATTGTGAAGAAGAAGATGTGCCTGCAGCGAGCAGCATCGCCAACGCCCGGCTCTCTCGGCTCGTGCTTCGGTTAGTTGCAGTGCCGATCGCTGGGGACGGTTCTTCACGCTGTCTCATCGCTGTCTTTAACGGCTAATAAACCTCCTCACACAACAATTTCATTGTGAGGCTGGCCAAACGTTTCTTCGCAACTCCCTCGTCTCCAAGGAAGAGCCACTTCGTATCTTCCAATGGTGAACTTAATGAAGGACTCAAAAGCCATATGTACTTCTTCCTGCTCCTGATTATTTGTAACTAGGTCCACAATACCCATGCTTTCGAATTCCCAGAAAAATTTGAACTGAGTTGTCATTGCCAATTTGTTTTCCACTACAACGGCTCGAATAACCGCTATCGTTGCACTTGTGTTGCTGTACGGCACTGTTTGCTGCAGTGTCCACCCGAAGTGTGTAATAATTGC